TCCCCCCAAAGCCCCAGTAGACAGCCACATGTCATAGGTTCACATCCCTCTAGTTGCTGTACGTGGGACTCGGCCTCACGTTGGACGGAGAAGCGGTGCCTCGGGGCGCTCCCGGGATCCGAACCCGGGCCGCCAGCATCAGAGCGCGCGCACTTAACCGCCAAGCCACGGAGCCGGCCCGACGACTATTATTTGTTAACAAAAGTTTTGTTTAGCAGGAAACTGGAAATGGCTAGATTTGACCTCGGCAAAATTGGGAAGGAGGGATTGAAGAGATTAGAGATTGGAGGCAAGGAAACCAGTTAGGAGGATGTTGCATTGGGTGAACGGGAAAGGATGAGGGCCTGGCAGCGTGGGGCAGTGAGAGGGGAAGGTGGTTTACCGACAGATGGGACTTCAGCAGAGGACAAGGTAGAGTGTGTCACTGACCAGATATAGGCCAAGAAAGGACAAGAAAGATTTGCAGTGGCGCTAAGCTTTCTAGCTTGATGACTAGGTGAGTGGTGAGGCCGCAAATGGAACAAAAGAAGGCAAGTTTGAGTTTGGATATTTTGAGTTGAGGTATTGGTAGGCCACATCCAAAACTGAATTCATCATTTCCCCATCAAAACGTTTCATGTTCCACTTAACTCCTCACTAGGTTCTCTTTCTTTTTGCTTACCTGAGAGATGAAAAAGATGACAAGAATTTATATATATATATATTTTGTTCCTCATGCTCTCCCGTGTCCCCAGCGCAACCAGTGACACAAGACAATAAAGAGACAGAGGAAAAAGTTGGAGTGGGAGTTTGATAGTGTGACGTGGTAGAGGTCCTTAAAGGTCCTCCTGACGGCAGAGGGACCCAGCACCATCGCTTTGAGTTGCCTTTGTTTCTTTGTGGCTCAAGTGCAGGGTGAAGGGGATGTAGCCTGGCAGTCAGGGTCTCTGCTTTAGCCACATTGGCCCCCATTACCACAGGGGAGTTGGTCCGTTAGATCCATGAGTGGGGTTTTCAGATCTTTCCTTTGGACAGTGTGGGGACACATGAGGAGGGAAGGGATGAGAGGAGACCTTCTTAGGGTGAAAAAATAGATCTAATGTTTTGTTAAGTCAGCTGAAGCTTTTTTTCATTCCATTTTTCATTTTTGTTGACATAGTGACTTATTTATTCAGTAGAACTTCCTTGAGCACTGCCTAGTGCTGGGCGAGTTGCTGTGGTTCCTGAATGCCTGGCTTTCTGGAGATAAAGACTCCCAGGCTTATCCCAAGAGTCCAGTTCTGAGTGAGTCCTGGGAATCTGCATCTTGAAAAGCTTCATCAGCCTTTTCCAAGGTGTTGCCTGATTTGGTCACTTCTGTAAAGTGTACATTGGTCCCTGAGTCCCAAATGACTAGAGATAGTGAGTGCTGTAGCTCCCGAGAAAGGTGTAATGGTCTGATTAAAGGCTATTTTAGCTGCAACGTGGAGTTTCTAGTAGGTTCTTTTCTCACCAAATCGTGTACCTTTACACAGACACTGAGACTCAGAGTCTGATAAGGTTCCTGGACAGAGAGGAACCTTCAGGATTACAGATTCTTACCACCCAGAGTTCTGTGCCCACTGATGGCAGAGAAGTGGGGTGGAGGGCCTTTGTTCTAACAGTTGAGGCTGGCTTCCCTTTGCCAGCCTCAGAGTGTGCAGGAGAGAAGGCATTAGGGTGTCCTGGCACTGCAGGCCAGGCTGCTTACTCCAGCTGCGAGTGACCATCAGAGTTGGCCAGGTGGATATGGGGACTGAGCCCTCCAGGCAAAAATAGCCTATCAGTTATTTTAAAACATGTAGCAAAAAGCTAATTCATGGTTATTATTTGAATTAAACCTATTTTTAAGTTCACACTTTACTGTTAGAAGCAATCCACTTCAGCTCACTTTATATCTAAGGCCTTCAGTTTTAGCTCTTTAGGGAAAAAACTGGTGATGAGAAAAGGAGAGTCTTCTCACAAAGTGGCATTTGATGGAGGTCTAGGCAAGAAGACAAGGAGAAATCACTGCGGTGGTTTGAAGTGTCTTGACAGCATCATGGAGGTGCAATGTCAGCTGGGCCTTGGAAGATGGGTGGGAATTAGAAACGTGGGGAAGGAGACATTCCAGTAGCAGACGCAGCCAAACATCGGTCATTCAGAATGCAGCTCATAAGCACAGCCTGGCTGGTCCTTGTGTCTTTTTGTGGTCTCACAGACTTTTCATTGTTTATGATATACCTATAGTCGTGTTCACAAGGTGTAAAAGAGGGCAGAGGAAGTTTGGACACTTTCACGTAGACGCCAGCATGTCTCAACGGTCCTTCTCTAGAGAGCTAAGAACAGGTGAATGGTTGGCAGGTATCACAGAGGGAAAGTTCTCGTTCTGTTATGGGCTGAAAGAAGAGGGTCTCCACGTGTCATTTTGCAGACATGTTGGCAGTGGGAAGGGTGAGAGTGCTAGTTTGTAGTCTGGTGACTTACCTGTGTGTTAAAAGCATTCAGGATCGCACTTTTCTAGTGGGTTGAGAAAGTTTCTCCAGTCAAAGACTTGACAGTGCTGGTCTTGACCACTGCACTTAAGGTGAGTGAGTGCAGGGCTAAGGGAAGGCTAGACACGCACTGAATTTTCCACTTTCTTATCAGGACTTTGTTACCCTCCATCCTGTTCCCTAAAAACACTATATATTTGTTAGATATAAGTTCCTTTTTTCCAGGGCAAGGGGACACATCTGGTGCTGCCATCGTTGCTTACCTAAGAGCCAGCCATCTCCAGGAAATTTCGGAAGAGTGGTTGAAAAGTCACGTACTTTTCCTGGCTCCATGTACTGCTGTTGGGTGATTGGGGTGACAGTGGGTCTGGATTCAGTGTTGGGACTCTTCTTGAGCGCACCAGGAATGACTCCCTGTCTCTAGTCATTTTAACCCAGCTACCCAAGACATTCCTGCAATGGAATTGAGATTAGACTAGATGACCCCTGGGTTTTCATCTAATTTGAAGCCAGTGATTATAGAATAAGGTGTGGTTCAAGCTGGGCCTGTGACAGTCCTTGGTAGATGAGGTGGTCGGTGGTGCTGGCCTCTGATGTGAGGCCATTGTAACCACCTTTTAGTTTTTTCCTTCTCTTGGGTGGCCGGGACACTGAAAAGCAGCTGTTATACTGTCATGAAACCATGTGATCATCTGGAATGTTCTCTCAAATACTGTCAGTTGATGAGGTCATTGCATGGATATGACTTTACTTCTGTGAATGGGAAAAGAGTCAAAGGAAGCTTTCAGTGAGGGCCTCACACAGAGTGCTGCTGGCTGGAGGGTAAGTTTCTGTCCTCTGCTTTCTGGTTGGAAGAGAAGCATATATCTATCTCATGGGCTCCTTCAGCTGTGCCTGTCAGCCCCATCTCACTGCCTGGAGAGCTCTTCCCTCCTCTCCCAAAGACCAGCCATCTGAATTTGAGGGAGGGGTCCACTTAGATTGCATTAAACGCTTATTTTTCTTTCAATTTGCTAGTAATTCCAAGTGTCCGCAGTTTCCAGGTTGCCATGCAGTATTGATGCGGGGGTGATCACAACCCTGCAGCTGTTCTGACAGCATGAGCTGTGACTCAAGAACGTGGTTTTGGTTTTGGTTTTGCTCATCTTAGTGCAGAAATGATAGAAATTATCACCACATCAAGCGTGATTTATGATCTGACTCCCAGCTAGAAGTAACTCCCGTGGATGATTTATTTACAGTTACTTGCTATCATCTTCCGCTTTTTTATTTCTAAAAGGTCATACGTCATCATCACCTGACATATATATATATATATATATATTTTTTTTTTTTTTAATAGAATTCAGCATTTTACGTGGATTGTGAGTCACTGGTTCGAGCCCTTCAAGAACTGCCTATCTCACTCCGACTCAATGTTGCTGCTGAATTGGTCCAGGTAAACACCCTGACAGCACCTTCAAGCTGGTGTGGATTAGGGCAGGAGGAGAAAGAGTGAAAAATATCCCTCTGAGGGGTGTCTCAGACTCAGCTTTTCCTTTTGTAGAGCTGAGGGGTTTGTATTGGGTAGCATTTTGTAAAGTTTTAAGGGAGAATAAAATAATTTTTTAAAGTTTTTATTTTTACATTTATATTTGAATCATTTTAAACGCTCAAATGTAGTGGAATTGAATGAAATGCAAAAGTATAAAGTCTGGCTGATAGTTTACTTAAAATATTTCTGTGCCAGGCTCTGTGTTAGGCACTAAGGATACAGTGGTGAGTAGACAGACATGGTTCCTGCCCTCATGGAGCTTAATCTATTGGGAAAGATGGGTATTCATCAAATTATTGAATTGTGAGAAGTCCTGTGAAGGAGAAGTACAGTGTGCTGTGAGAATATATAATAGTGAACCTGATCTACTTTGGTGGGGGTAGGAATGGCTTTCCTGAAGAAGTGATAGAGAAGCTGAGATCCAAAGTGTAAGAACATTTGAGTTGGAATTTAAAGCAGAGTGACCCAATCAGATCTGCATTAACAACAATACTAATAATAATGATAATAATAAAGAACATTCTGGCTGTAGAATGGGAGTGGACTGTGGGATTGGGGTGGGTGTGTTGATTGGTAAATCTGTACTTGCACACTCATGCAAGAGGAGAGTAGATGAGGGGAAGCAAATTAGGAGGCTATTGCATGGGTCCAGGTAAGTAATACTATAGTTTAGCCTAGGGTAATGATGGTAGAGATGGCAGAGAATTGGACTTTACCAAGAGGTGCTTCAAAAGTAAAATTAACAGGATGTGGTGAAATACTGGAAATGGAAGAGAGAGCAGGCAAAGAATTATTCTAGGTTTTCCAGCTTATGTTACTCAGTGGTAGGTACTATCAGGAGAGACAAGGTTTGGACATTATCGGTTTGTGCCTCTGAGATATCAAAGTGGAAATATTAGTCAATTGGATATAGAAATTTATAGTTCAGAATTAAGGGCTAGAAATATAAATTTGGGAGATGGCAATTAATGATTTGACTAAGAGAGGAGGAGGCTCAAGGACTATACTATAAGGAACTTCAAAATTTAATTGCGGTTTAGTTGAATTTTTTTAAAAAGTGAAACCTTCGGCAGTGCTAATTTTAAATAGAATCCCAGCAACTAAAATAGATCAGCTTCGTTCTGCAGTGGGATGTGACGCTAAGCTTGAGCACAGCCATGAATTGGTTACCCACCCAAGCGTTGTTTCTGTCGCACTTACTAGTCTCAAATTTAGGTCAGCAAGTAGAGTTCAGGGCGGGAGGACAGTTAGGGGCAGGGCAGAGAAGAAGAGAGGATGACATTTGCCTGTGATGGGGAGTCACCCCAGGGCTACTTTAGGGATGTTTGGGGGGTGTCTTAGTGATTGGGAGAGTGCTGCTTTTCCTGCTGGGTGTCCAGAGATGTTCAGAGTTCTGACATACGTGGTTTGGTCCCACACAATGAAGATTGGTTAACAGAACACATCAGGGAAATACTGAGATGAAGGTGATGGGGGTCCCCGGACTCAGGAGAGAAAGAGGAGTGTTGTGAGCATTCAAAAGTGAAGGATGTTGTGTCAGTGGCGGGCCTTCAAGTAAAGGTATAAAATAATTGCAGTAACTGAAAACCTAGCTAAATAGCTTTAAAATCTCCCCCAACCCCACCCCATGATGTAGAGCAGTTATTCTCACCTGTGTTTTCACATTAGAATAACCTGGGGAGTTAAAAAAAGGAAAAACAATGCCAGACACCCAATCCAAACCAACTAAATGATTCCAGGGATGAATGGAGGACCACATCTCGGCTTCGCCCTGCACACTGACAATGATGGGTGAATATTTAAGTTTGTGTGTAAAGCCATACTGTCTTAAAGGCCCTAAGGAATCATTAGCAAACTGGATCTGCTCAGGATGCCGAAATGTACAAATAAGGGGACAGTGCTCCCATGGTAGTTGAACCTCATTCTAAACCTACCCTCTCTGATGCCAGGCTAGTCACCCCACGCCTCCTTCCAGAACAGTGTGTTCTTAGCCTTAGCTCTACATTACAGTCACCTGGGAGTTTTCAACTTTTATTAAATTATGGCATACAGAAAAGTGCATGCATAAGTGTTTATAACATGGAATCAGCTTCCAGATCAAGAATCAATATTGCCAGCACCCAAGAAGCCACCCCTGACTTCCGGTCACTACTTCCTTAAAACCACTATCCTGACTTCTAATACTAAAGATTAGTTTTGTCTGTTTTTGCACTTCTTTACAGATGTAATCAGATAGTATCTTTTCTTTTGTGTCTGGCATATTTTACTCAAATAATGTTACTAAGAGTCATTGTTTCTTTTTTTCTTGGTGAATTTGTCCCATCACCTTTATATTGGCGCATGTAGGTATAGTGAACAGATCTCCTTTGCTAATGACTTCTCGGTAGCTTTTAGATGTTTAAGTCTCATCACAGATGCAAGCATACATTCAGCTAGACCTGTGGTACTGTCAGTTCTCGGGCCAGGGATAGGAAGACACGGCCTTTTTGATTTCAACTCTGAGTGAGTTAGCAGGGAGCTGAGGTGGGTAGAGTAGGAGGCGCTGCCCTATTAGATTTCGTTGAGGTCTCCCACATTTACCCCAAATCAATAAGGAAGGATGTGGGCAGGGCCCGAATGGGAGCCCCTTTGTGAACTTCCTGTCTGAATTGAGTTTCCTATTCCACAAAGTTTGATGGCTTCCTTAGCTTTTGTTTCTGCTTCAGCAAATATGGCAGGACTCACAATTTTAACTCAGTTGTTATAATTCTCTTTTAGACTGCCCTTCCTTTAGAGCTGCCTCAGGTGAAACCAAAGAGAAATGATGAAGGCAAGGGACTAGGGATGCAGTTAAAAGGGCCCTTGGGGCCTGGAGGAAAGGGGTCCATCTCGGACCTGAAACCTGCTGCTGCTGGCTGCCCCATGTTCCTGGGTAACGATAGCCCAAGACCGGGGCCTTCAAAGGGTTCTCAGAAACCCGCTTCCCCGCTGCAGTCAGCAGCAGACCACTTGGAAGAAGAACTAGATCTGCTGCTTAATTTAGACGTGCCTGTAAAAGAGGGAGAGAACATCTTACCAGACCAGATATCTCTGGACCTGGAATCCGAGAAAGATGGGGAAGTGGCCCAAGAAGAAACAGGTATGGCTTTCATTTGATTCCCTCTCCATCTTCTTGATTCTGGTGTTTGTGTGAAAACAGCCCCACCTGCCACCTCCATACACATCTCCATCAGTGTCTGACATCGATCTGGCCTCGTCCACTGACATCTATTTCCGTGCTCACATCTCTGCTTCCCCCTGAGCTGACCTTTCTGACAACATTCCTCTCACTCGATATACCGGGCTTCCGAAGCTGCTACCTGCCTGATTGCAGCATTAAACCTGGGGCTCCAAGTGGGACTTGTGCTATAAGAAAGGCATTAAGATACGCGTAGCCCCCAGCTGTGCAGCCGCAGACCTTTTAATCGACTGTCTGAACAGGCCAGTTAACCAACTCTTTGTACTTCTTGCCTGCTATTGGAGAACCTTTAATGACTTTCCAGGATTGCTACACTAGTGAAAAGAAAACTGAGCTGTTGGTCTTGAAAGAAACTAGTGAACCGTGAACTTTAACTTCAGAATAAATGGAAGAGCAAATCTCTACCCCATTTATTAATTTGTTTAGATATTATTGTATCTTCTTAGGTCATGGGACCAATAATAGAATGTTTCTCCTTATTAGCAAAGTAATCATTAGAGCTGAATTATATCATGAAACAAACACGAGGGAAGTTTTAACCCTCAATTTTGGGGCTAATATGAAGTTGTTAACATTGCTTTTGTTTCCCCAGTTCGTACAAAACCGTCTGTGATGGAAGAAAAGAACGTGGAATCTGAGCAACCAAGTACATCAAAAGATGTTACCGAGGAAGAGCTTGAAGACTGGTTGGACAGCATGATTTCCTAACAAAAAAGAAAAGAGAGACAGAGGGAAAGAAAATGAAAAAAGTGCCTGAAGCAAATTTTGGTTGCCTGGCGAGTAAGGGCGGGCCCAAGGCTGTCCTTCAGGAACAGCTGGTTTAAGAGCATGCCGCAAGCCGCTGTGTTCCACCTCGCTTACCGCAGTGAACGCCTACCTCTGTGTTCAGTGACATCCGAAATAATACATTTAAGAGCCTCATTGCATTTGTTCTCTGGCTTAGCAATCTAATAGATTCCTTGAGGGCAGGGGACGTTATGGCCCTCATTTCCAGCCTCCTTCCTCTCAATGTTTACAGCATAGCAGGTGCTGCTGCTGAGAACAGAAGCAGGCAACAAGGCATGCATTTGCCCAAAATAAACAAACGCTGGCCTATGGACTTTTTTCTTTCTTGTATGGGGTTGTAGGCTATTTGTCTCCTGTCCCTTTTCCCAGCAGACACAGTGTGGTGGTAGAATCATCCAGAAGTGGTGCATTACAAGAGGCCAAACCATGGATTGGTGTGTATTACTTTATTGCAGTGGGCACTTGATTTTATTTAAGGAGGTTCATCTAAACACAGCAGCTCCACTACTTACAAGGGACCATGAAGCATTACTCAATTTGGCATAAGATTGAGAGTTTTCTGAATTTTCAGTACAGTACTTTTCTTCTAATAACAGCAGTTGACAAGCTGTTACTGAAAAAAATTATATGAATAACCTTCAAGTGCAGTTTCATAAAGTAAGACAGAAGATCAACACAACTACTTAATGGAACTGTCCATCTGAAACATAAAAAACTTGCATAGCTGTATGTAGAGAGGTTTTAAGGCACTTAATCGATATTTCAGTGTCGACAAAGTGGTGGTTTGTTTTTTTCTATTTCTTTAACTGCTTAAAGCTTTCCAAGCTGATTCTGGATACATTCACTAGCACGTACCATGGGAAAAATTAGACTGCAGTTAAAATGATTTTTTTGTAGCTCAGACCATGAGTCACTGGTGAGATACTGTCATGTGACTTTCAAATGTTTAAAATTTCAGGTATTATGCAGTCAAGACCTCATCTTCTCTCGCCCTAAAAGATGCCATCCCAGCAAACTAGTTAGAACTAAAAATTTGAAGGCATTCAAACCGGAGCTTCCTTGATTCTTTGCCATCTTTTTTTTTTCTTTTCACATTTTGACATGTTATCTCCCACAGTGTACATCCATTAGGCACAAAAAGCCAAATCAATTCCAAAATATCAGATTTTTAACAAACACTTCGTTGTAAGGGAGGCATTTAGAAATTGTCACATTTCAAATATGTTGCAGAACTGTAAAAGAAGGATTTTATTTCACTGGAAGTTGACCGTCCAGAATGGTGGAGCTCTTTCATTCAGATTTATCCAAGCTGATCTTCATATTGTTTCCGGAAGCAGTCACCAGCTGGGAAGAAATCCCAACACCGTTCTTGGTACATCTTCCAGACATAGGATTCCTGAAATAATGGGAACAAAGGGTACTTCTTTTTAAACCACAATAAGCTAAACCCAGTTTATTTTTACTCTGTATGTCTCCCTTTAGGAATACTGATGTGGATTTATGAGGCCCAACTGGTGCATTCTTTCTTGCTCTGTCCCAGCCCAGGCTATTTTGGGAGCAAGAAGTCATTTCTCTCCGCTCCTGATCATCATTCCCCCCCACTCCAAAAAAACACCCCAAACACTGAAACCAACTCGATGATTGCCACTAAAAATGCTTAAAGATTTATCAGTAGGCTGATTCACTGTCCTCTGTAATGGGAAGAAGGCAGGAGAATGCACAATGAGGGAACACTGAGTGCCAGCTTAGGCAGATGCCTGACGAGCCAAAGCCAGATCTGGAAACCAGCTGCCTCTCTTAAGTGTTTGAACTGTGAAGTTTTCCTACAAATCCAATCATGTTTGAATATTTGCTAGCCTACCTTTTCCTCCCTTGTTCTCTCTCTTTACATTTCTTTTCACACTTAGTCACAATCCCTTCTGACACGTGCTTTCACTCATACACCCACACCTCCCCATTCCCTGTGTCACCCACACACAGAAGGTCGTTGGCTTTCTTACGCTGTCTGTCTCACACCATTTTACTCTGATTCTCTGGCTCTTTGTTACAGCCACCCACTTAACTTCTCATTGTCGTTTTCTCTATAATGTTCCCCCACCCCTAGATAATCGACTCTGAAGCAGTAACTATCAGGGTTTAGAAAATGTCAGTGTTGGTTGGGAAGGATAACCAAGAGGTCTTTTGGACTTGATTAGCATTGCCTTAGAATTTTGGCTTCTTAAGTCACAAAGAGATGGTGGAATAATGCAGAAAGCAGTGGAAAAATGCATGTAAGAGACTGAGGGGGTCATCTGTCTCAGATAGCCTGTGCTCTACTGAGTCTCGAGACAGGGCAGCTCCTTACACAGGGTATGATTCCTAATTAAAGACATTTTATTTCTCACCTGACCCGTGTGCTCTGTTTCATCTTTATTAATCAAATACATCAGGAAGAACCTAGAACCAGGAAAAAAGTATGATAAATGAGAGAAAGACAATATTAGGTACTTTGGGTAGGAAACCTAAGTTCATTTACTCAAGTGAACTGGAGAGAGTGTTTAAATATGTTGTTTAGCATCATGCTGTCCACTATGCCTTTCAGAATTGGGGAAATATGGCATAATGACAAAAACCATTATTTTCTGATATACATTAATCTCAAAATTAGCCTTTTTGTGAGAAGAGATCCTTCTCACCGTCCCCATTGAGGAAGCAGTTCGGCTAACATTTTATAGTTTGTTTAAAAAAATCGTAATCCAAGCAATAAAATGGTGACCCATACTCTTCACGTGCAATTTTTGGTAGGCCAACTTACTTATAAGAATATAGAATTGAAATTACACGCGTCTCTCAAGGATATGTCATGAAAAAGGTGGAAAGTATTTAATCTCATTAAGTTGCTCTGATTCTTCCAGAAGTATAGTTTTATTATAGACAATTGGGAAATACCAGTGTAGCTTCACTTGCTCTAACCGTGTTGTGTGTCTGAGGTTTGGGCCTGTCTGGAATACACAAGTATCGCAGCGGGCTGGGGCTGATGTCTCAACTCGCATTACATGATCCCAGAGACAGCTTCCATAGGAACCAGTCTCATGCCCTTCAGGTAAAGCACTGTGAGGCTGGTGGTAGGAAGAGAAAGTAGAAATAGCATCTTTCTGAGGGGGAGAGCCTGAGCCCCAGATTTTGAGTTCTCTCAGGGTATTCTTATGTGTATAGCTTCAGGTCGTGGCCCACAGTAGAGGCATAAATATATTAGTTTCCTTCCTCCCTTTTCCTTGATCAAGACTAAGAAAGAAGTCATGGCCACTATCTTTATCATGTTTGAGACTCAGGCATGTAGGACATGCTTCCTTTCCTAGCACATTTATCTGACAAAGGACCATTTTTGGCGGGAAGTTTCAAACATCAGCAAGACGGGTTCTCTCCCCTCAAGCTCACTGCTAGACGGGCACAGAGATAGAAAATAGACTATGATAATACAGAGTCCCGTCGGAAGATGCAGAAGGGGGTCCCCACCCAGATAACATATAACAACGCCCTTCCACTCTTCTCTATTCACTGGTCCTGACATATGGCCATGTGCTCACCTTTTAAGAAGGACATCCATCCTGATCACCTCCATTAAGATGCAAACTCTCTCAATGAGAATTAATAATGATGAAGACGTATGACTTGAGGAAGGGTTTGCTAAAGTTATTAAAAACTTGTGTTTTTGTCTTAAACTCCTTCTAGCAAAAAGATAGATCTTTGCTATTTCTCTTTGATAACACCTTTCCCAAAGACTAGGCCTACTCCATCCTAAAAACAGATTAGGATTTTCTGAACACTAACATGTAGACGCAGAGGGGAAGGGCTGGGCCAGGGAGCAGAGCCCAGCAGTCTTTTTCTTTTCTTGAAAATGATCATTGACAGAAGCTGAATTGTCAGGTAATCTATAGTCTCTATACATTCTGGAAGTTATAAGTTTCATAGGCAGACAGACCATGGCACATAATAGGCTTTGAATAATTTGTTCTTGAGTGAATGCTTTACCTTAGAAAAAGTGAAGTATTTATTATTTGCCTAGTGGGTGCCAGGCCTTAGGTACTGGGATAGAATACTGTGAGAACACACACATTAAACATACCCTACTCTCCTGGGGCTTACATACAACTAAGAGAGGGCAGACATGGTGAGGCCTGAAAACCGAACATGGAATCCAGCAACATCCAGGTCACTGGCCACTTTGACAAGCAAATGTGACATGGTGGGGAGGAAAGCCTGACTGACTGGAATGGGTTCAAAGGGGAATGGGAGGAGAAAAATTGGAGACAGCGAGCATGGACACTTTTCAAGTTTTTCTGGACGAGAACAAAAGAAGCAGGGCAAAAAGGACATTTGTCTTTGGGATTAAAAACATAACATTTGTATGGTGATGGGAAAAATCTAATAGAGAAAGAAATGCTTGGAGTCATGTGACCCGGAGAAGGGATGGGATCGAATCCCAGGTTGAAGAGTAGGAACAGTCCACAACACACATCTATCAAAACATGGGAGAGGCAGAGTAGATGGACAGAGAGACGGGCCCATGGGCACTCCTCGAAGATTTTTCCTAATTGCCTCTACTTTTTCGGGGAAATAGGAGGAAATGGCATCAGCAGAGAGGTGAACCATATGACTTAACTGTTTATGTTACTCTACCACTCCTTCCCCTGCCTCATTACCTCGTTGACCAAGAATACTCACAAGTAGTTGGCTAAGTTGTGCTCTTGTAAGGTATGTGTTTCAAAACCATGAGGGGTCGTGTCAAAGTAGTCATTGCCAATCCCACAGATGAAACATTTAGTCTAAGAAAAATAACAGAGGCAGTAAAGGCATTAGTAGGCATGACGTTACAGGCAGGTGGAAAAAGGATGATGATCTCTGATTGATTGAATAGAGACACTGAAAAGTATTTCTCTTTAATGCTTCTGGCTAT